CATGAAGTCCCGGGTTCGATCCCCAGTCGGGTCGATGGATTCGCACTGCTGATGAGACCTTCTAATACTGTTTTCAAACATCATATTAACCTGCTAATCAGAGGCACCTAATCAGTTCGTTTTTTTCTACCATCGATTTTCTTGTGTGTAGCATTGTATCCCGCCGGGTGCGTAGTGCTGAATACACAGTGCTCAATATACATCGATCCCAGGGCACACACACATTCAGTTCTTATTACTTTTTTGGTAACCAGCTGGATCAATGCGATAGCACGGAATGCATAGCAGTGCCGTTTAATCATTCACATCTCTCTTACGTATGATATTCATCTATGTCTATTGTAGATTTCTATTGCTTTCTCACTTTTTCATTTTTACTTCCTTTTATTGAATACACAATGACAATTTTCAAGAAGGAGGAAGGGGTCAATCAAAGGGCTGGCATAATGTAACAAGGAGGTGAGTCGATTGGAAAAACGTTTATTGATTCAATTCAAAAATAAGTGGTGCATGCGTTACATCATATACAATCAATTCTTAACCGCGCGGTAGGATGATTCATTCCTCGTTCTGTTGGTCAATCCCTTTTGGTTTTGGTGCGCACTTGGCACGTGCGTGTCGTTTCGACTGGTTTGACCCGATCGTAATGCAAGATACGTTGATCAACAGCTCCGGCGTTGTCGTTGTCGGTGGATATCTTTCTGACTAGATGCGGATTGTTCGTCGCGCTGTAATTGTCGATTCGTTCGTTTCGAGTGGTAGTCGATATTGTCTCGCGAAGCATTTCCAGCCGCTACGTCTGTGCATCTGGTTGGATGGGCCCTATACTTGATGCATTCGCTATCCAGGGCTCTCTTTGTACCATTTTCCATCACAATAACACACAAATGGGAAAAGTCAGGTGGTGGTGGTGGTCTCGTCCTCCGGGGTAATAATTTGGTGACGTTACCACCGGGCCACTAGCGCCCCTACCTGACAAACGTCGATTCACTTTGCATTTGTGTGGTTCATTAACTACGTTTACTGCACACGCCTATGAAACTGCCGTGTTCTAACCTGTCTACGAAAGCGTGACAAAATTATGTGTTACAAACGAAACTTATTCAATTCCAGCCCGCGTAAAAGCCTGAGAAAATGAATGACTGTGTCCGCAAGTTCTATTTTCTATTCTCTCTTTTGTTTCGTGTTTGAATATCATGTTCTGGTAACCAACTTCAGTGACAACAAAAGAAATCATCATTCCGGAAACTGATGTGTATTACTATAAGGAAGGCACTAGATCCTGAAGTGACAGATTGGTGAGTGGTGGCAACCAATACCAACAGGTCAAATATGTATTTTTGTCGTAACAGGGAATAGGATACACTATAATACTGCTCAGCAATACATTCGTAGTAGCAAACTACGAAAGTTACCAATGCTGCAGACATTGTCTGTAGTATGGTTTCAGCGAGAGTGACCATGGCTAGAAGAGTGGATCTAAGCAAAAGCTTTTAAAATATATATATATATGTTACATCGGTTTGAGAACAAGCATGGTGCCAATGCAAAACAATGATAATGAAGTTATGGAGGGATACAGAAAGATTAAATGAAAATGGGGAAAACAGAGAACACGAAGAACGAATGAATGACGTCTTTTTTATAGTTTTACCGTAAATGTTTTGAAGATATTTTTGTGTTATGGGGAACGGGGTTTCGCCAAACAAACCGCACAACGATCGCGCCACTGGCATCTATTCTGAGCCATATTGCTCAGCGTCTGGAGCCATCCGCAATCCTCATCCTTTGGGCCCCAGCCTGGAAGGCGAGCTGCACCAACCGAAGGCAATGCTGAGACTAACTTCTTCTTAACTGTACGCCACGTCATGGTCTGACCGCCGCGAAGCTTCTTCCAACTTAGCCCACCACGTGCAAAGATAGCACGGCGAGGGAGTCGATGGAAAGCCCATGAGTAATGAACAACGTAGCGGGTAATGACGCAAAGACAAAAATCACTACCTCGTTTTCATTTAGCACCCAGAGGTGGGCAACAGGCATGGTTCAAACCTGTTTTTGTTAGAACTGGTGACAATATGATATACAACCAGTTCAAGTGCATTTAAAAAACCCTCACTCTATACACATTGTTGCAAACATTATATCGATAGACTATCTAATCGATACATGGATTTAAAGCAATCTTTGTACAGTAAGCCCTCGTGATTGCACCCATACATGTTTATAAATTGTATTCCGTAGATATTTACAACGTACCGGACAAGCGATGCTCCTCGGATAGCCGACGTCCAATTGTGTCAGGGTTAGTGGCTTTTGTGACCGCCGTTTCGTCAGTAAAACAACCGGACGGATGTTGCCACGACAGGAACAGATCCAACAATGGAAGCTGGTTGAATCGTAGAAACCCCATATGAGAGCATACGAATACTGCATGATGAGACAGAGGGAAAGAAGCACAAGATAAAAATGAGGAGCGAAGGTGAAGGTGCTAAAACACTGGGGACCAGTATGAACCCCAAAGGGGTAGAACTGGTAATCACGGTGAGTGTACTTACATAAAACACATTATCGGAAGGAATAGTTTTGCTGGCTTTAGAAAAATCAACAAAAGTGCACTGGAAAACGTGATGAAAACACAAGCAAAACAGTGATCCAACGTCTGAAATACACAGATCGAAGAAACAAAAGAGGAATTCCAGGTATGACAATTTGTGATGATAGCAAATCGAATTCCGGTGAGCAGTCGAACTGGCCAGTGTTCTATGCACTGCTAAGCGAAATGATCCGCCAATTGTATGCAATACTGTGACGGAATGAGAATGTTTTACCTGCTCCGTCAAGTATTCAGTGTAAATTACCAAATCAAAAGGCACTGAAACCGGATTATCATCAGTCTTCAGTATTGAGGGCAGAGGGTAGGGTACCCGTGTAAGCCCAATCACCACTGGGTCGAACGTCCGATCGCAAGTGTTCGTTCTTCCATAGCCCCTTCAGATGCTCATCCAGACAACGTTTGAAGGCAGCGTCTGTCTTCTCCTCCACCGCGGTCGCTGGAAGCGAATTCCAGAGTGTTTTTGGCCTCCGCGAGATGATACTAATTTTTGTAAATATTCATAATTCTGTGGGTATTGTCCATCATTTAAACAAAGAAATGGTAGCCGATAAGCACAGACCAAATATAACAATTATAACCGTATAAAACGAGGTGCAAAAAACCAAATAAGCAAGAATAAACACATTTGAAGGGACGCACCTTGTTCCCTAAGTAAATCACAATGCTTCGGAGTTAACGTGTACAAATCCAACAGGGACAACAATTCTCGGAACGTGTATGAGCACAGATTGATGGAGAGGGAAAACAAATTAAGTCCTTTCGGTTCCAATTGTTCAATCAGTGCACTACTACAATCCAACTGCAAGTTGAGTAGATCAAATGCCCGGTTAAGGAACAAAGAAAAGGGAATCAAGACTTACCTCAAATAGGATGGCGGCATATAACGCTTGATGCGTGAGCTCGTACCCGTGAGATGGATGCCCGGTGATGAGCTCTAAGCACTCACCAGAAGGTTGGCATCGGCGAGACTAGTGATTGGTCAATAGCAATTGACTGATACATCGATCGCTCAATTGTTCGTCAAATGTGATATCACGACCGGAATCGGCTGATGGATAACCCATTTCATAGAGGGTGTTTGGTGACTGAGGGTACCAACGTAACATAAACAATGAACCCATTTTGTGAAAATAGCTTGCATCCCGCTGTTTGAGAGATTGGATCACACGGGGTAGAACTTGCTCCACCGACATAAATAGCCGTGTTAGATTAGTTCTAACTGGGACGAGTAGTGGGGTGCCGTTACTATCGTGCCACAATGCTTGAATTGATAACAAATATTTAAGGTAACCTTTAATTGGAACGAACGGGTCAATGACGAGAGAATTAGTCCCAATTGTCAATTAGGAAGCTCACCTTTGACAATCCATAGACTAAAAGCACCATCAAAATTCATCTCTTCGTAATGCGTCAGGGAGTACGAGACCGACTTTTCGATTGCACGAAGAAGAACGTAGAATCGAGTGACAATCGGATTGCTCGTTGAGCCTATCACGCTCACAGAAACCATCATAAGGAATAGGAGTCCCAAAAACCGGTAATGTGCATGAGAACAAAACATTTTTCTCGATAAAAAATTGATCGATTACGGCAGTAGGTGAAACTTGAGGTAACGTGGAATCACGATGTTGGTGCGAGTATGTTCCGCAGGTTCGAACTTGTCATCCTGTCTTTGTATCTCACAAACTGCTCCTGTACGATCAAACGTCTCAAAGAGCCTCTATGGAAGAAGTCCGACTCATTGTCTTTACGTGACGGAGGTGTTCTCCAACCAAAGCGAGTGCGGATACCAACTTCCGGGGTTAAAAATGGATGTTCACCTAGGCGTGTTGGTAAAACAATCGTGACTGTAAACCAACCAAGAAGAGTGCAAACCACACCCACACTTTCTTACCTTTGACTGTGGTCACGGGTGCGATTGGGCGTCGAGATGTAATGTGCAGTTTGAACGTTTGATCCTATCCAAAGGATGTATGATGTGATGAACTGGGCACCGACCCCCAATTAATTGCAGTTTTCACACACCACCCCGCTACCTTGCGAGATAGGCATTGGTTAGCCGACAGCTCTGGTTCTAAATCCCCCTTCAGAAAGTATCTGTTTCGGTTTGAGGAACCTAGTAGTATTTCTCTCACGAGAAAAATAATGGACTAATATATTTGCTACATCGCGATTCAGTTGACACAGTCAGAACTCAGAAAAATGCAAAATACAATACACAACATTCCAACCACGCGAAATAGGTTTATGGTACATTAGTCACAGGTTTTCAATTACTGATATAAAGTTCATCATTTCGCCCATTTTGCTAACAGAAAAAACCAGTCTTAGTTTTTACAACCACTAACCAGTCACATTCGTGCACGGTTGTTGTCTCATGGCTGGCTGTTCGGAAGAAGGGGTAGAAAAAAGAATGGAATTTTGTGATCACTGTGAAGGTGAACACAGGATTAATCTACACTAAAGTTGCAAGCAAAATGAGTAGATGGACAGAAGAAACTACTTTCGCTGAAAGCAATAAAATATTTTATGATTGTGATCCTATGCGATCTACAATCTATTCTCAAGGTACCTTCATATGTAGTCAGTTACTTTGAGGTTGAGTACCATACGCGCTATACACCACGTTTATATAGAACAAATCATCT